GGCTGGAGGACGAGTTCCGCAACATCCTCCTCTCGCACACCTCCCCCATCGAGGCCGAGCTGCTGACCGAGTCGACTCACCCCGAGCTCAGCCCCCACGAGCTCGACTCGGGCGAGGAGATCGGCGAGCGCAGCTTCGGCAAGCAGTTCGAGCACCAGGAGAGCAACAGCAGCACCACCAGCAGCTGCTACAAGTCCACCACCAGCATCCACGAGGTGGATCTCATCTCCTGCGACGCGGTCTACGACCTCCGCTGCATCGCGGAGCGGATGATCGCTGCCGGCTACCTCCGCGAATGCATTCAGGTGTACTCGAGCGTGCGGAAGTCCACTGTGGACGCGAGCCTGAGGAAGCTGAGTGTCGAGAAGCTGAGCATCGGCGATATCCAGAGGATGGAGTGGGAAACGCTCGAGACCAAGATCCGGCGGTGGATACGCGCGGCCAAGCTGTGCGTCCGCGTGCTGTTCGCAAGCGAGAGAAGGCTCTGCGAGCAGATATTCGAGGATTTGGGTTCCTCCGCTGACGATGCGTGTTTCATGGAAACCATTAAAGGCCCTGCTATTCAACTGTTCAATTTCGCGGAGGCCATCAGTATCAGCCGGCGTTCGCCTGAGAAATTGTTCAAGATACTGGACTTGCACGATGCGCTGTCTGATTTGTTGCCTGACATCGAGTCTGTTTTTGATTCCAAATCGAGCGAGTCGATTAGGGTGCAGTCGGTGGAGATACTGTCTAGGTTAGCCGAGGCTGTACGAGGGATATTATCGGAATTCGAGAATGCCGTGCTTCGCGAACCTTCGAAGGTTCCTGTACCGGGAGGAACAATTCATCCATTGACTAGGTATGTGATGAATTACATTAGTCTGATCTCGGATTATAAGCATACCTTGAATGAGCTGATTGTGTCTAAGCCCTCGACCGGATCAAGATATTCGAGCGATCCCGATCACAATGTTCTGGATATGGATTTTTCCGAGTTTGAAGGTCAGACGTCGATGTTGGCGCTTCATTTGATTTGGATTATCATGATTTTGCAGTCCAATTTAGACGACAAGTCTAAGCACTACAAGGATATTTCCTTGGCTCATTTGTTTATGATGAATAACGTGCATTATATAGTTCAGAAGATTAAAGGGTCCCCTGAGTTGAGAGAGTTGATCGGGGACGATTATTTGAAAAAATTAACAGGGAAATTCCGGTTTTCTGCCACTAATTACCAGCGGGCGACCTGGGTGAGAGTACTGCACTGCTTGAGGGACGAGGGTCTTCACGTGAGCGGGAGTTTTTCTTCTGGTGTGTCCAAAAGCGCTTTGAGAGAGAGGTTCAAGGCTTTCAATGCCATGTTTGATGAGGTGCACAGAACACAGGCGATGTGGCTGATACCCGATGCTCAGCTTCGTGAGGAACTGAGGATTTCTATGTCGGATTTGCTCATCCCGGCCTACAGATCATTTCTCGGGAGATTCAGAAGTCATATAGAGAGCGGTAGGCACCCAGAGAATTACATCAAGTACTCAGTCGAGGACCTCGAGAATGCAGTCTTGGATTTCTTTGAAGGGTTTCCAATTTCTCAGCATTCGAGAAAGAGATCCGATTGACAATGGAATTCGAGACTGAAGGTTTGCCGCATAGATTTGTAGGAAAATCATTCTTTGGATTTTTGGTGGAGTTTTATGGGATGAGGGTACCGGACAAGCATTATTGTTCATCTCGAAGGATATCAGACGTTCTCACGTGAAACCAGACACAGTTCTGAATTCTGCTTCTTCTCGAATGCTTCAGCCCTGTAAGCATGTGTTGTTTGTATTATTATCTCAGCTTCTTTAGATTTTGTTTCATTTGTTTATATGGGACTTGCTGTATTTTGTTGTAATTTCTGATATTGGGATTTGGGAATCAATTATCATGGCCGACAGCGAATGAATATAGAAGAGCATCTGTTATTTCTCAACTGACTGCAAAGTGTTGCAATTGAAATATTTGTTCCTAATGGAAACTTTGTTTCTTGCTGCTTAGGCCCACTAAGTAATGTGCTTATTTTCCTAATCATTGCCACATGAACAGAGAAATAGAAGGAATAATTTACCTGGATATTCTGTTGTTTGGTTTCAGTTGTATTGTTGTATTACTTCTGGCCAATTTTAGTTGAAGGTTGGAGGTATTTCTAGTCACTGCAAAGTTACCTGCACCTGAAATTTTTCGATAGTTCATTGTTTACTTTAGTTGCTCTCTCTCGCAGTTAGTGCAAGCTCGTCTACCTTTGTAATTATAACACCTTATAATTCCACGCTCCATTAAGAAAAAATATGTTTAAAGAAAAAGAGCTCAGTGGTTTAGACGGCTATTTTCCTAGTTGTTTCCACTTCTTGGATGCAACTTGAGGTTAATCTAGCTTAGGCAAACCTGCCAATTGTGTTTAGGAGAAAATGATACTTCAGATCAACTTTCCTACACAAGCTCTTCAGGTAAATTGTTGGTTGGTTGAGGTCATATTTGGTGCTTATCCCTTTTACAGAACAAGGGTAGCTTTCTGCAACTTCTCATTCCTTGGATGACTGAAGAGTTACTTTTTTGCGTCCAAATAACCATATACTTGCTGGTTGGATTTGCCCTAATTTTGATTACTTATAATAATCAACTTTCTCATATTAGTATGTTCGAAATTTTTATGCGCATAATATTTAAAACCTTCTACTTGAGGTCACATTTGATATGTTTGTTGTAACATTAGCATTTTGAGATATGTTGCCATTTGTGTAATTGAAGCGTTGCTGTAGGGTCTAATCTAATCACACAAAGTAGACCCGTGAGGACCACCACATGACTTTTCTTTGGTAAAAGCAAAAGACTATTCTCGGTCTAAAAAACATGGCTGAATAAATGGTGTTCGTTTGACTCAACCCAAACCAAAAGACATTTTCAAGGCTGTTGCTGACTTTTTTAGAAGGTTGCAACCTGTTTTAGGAGTATCTCATGTTCTTCAAATTTCTTTTGTACTGTACTACTGTTTAAGGTAAACCTGTTTAATGTTCATTTTAGTATCCGGAGGTTCTTAAGTCCAGCAATCGGCTCGAATCGTATAGTTTAGTGGGTTGATTTTGTATTTTAGAATATATCCTTGTCTATTTTACAAACTGCATAAGCAAAAGGTTGTATATTCTTACAATAAGTATAACTTGAGTGGTTTAGTTGCCTTCTTTTCTTTTCTACTCTTCATTTTCAAGAAAATATTCCTAATTGCTAGGTCATTCGCTCGTTTGCAAGTTTATTTGCTTGATTTTACTTTATCCTTTTTCGGTTTTCCCCCCCTTTTTGGGCAAGTTTTATTTCATGCATTATGTCCTCCTTTTGGGACACAAATTGAAGCTCCTGAAAGGTAGAGGACCCAGTGGTAGTGTCTTGTTGTAAAATTTATGTTAAATTTAAGAAACATGCTACAAGTACATAATAAATGTACATAACTCACATGGAGTGAGATCCACTTGATTTTTTTTTTTTGGTAGGACTCACATTATGTGAGTGTTATGTACACCTCTATGTACAATATTATGTACCTATAGCATTTCTCTAAATTTAAACTCAAGTGATAACATGTCTTATTAACCATCTGAATTTGGATTATTCTTTCTATATTTGAACTTTTATATACTTTGTCAAGATGATGATTGCGAGATGGGCTATGAGAAAAAGGCAGGAGTTACTTTGTTAGTTTGTCTTTGTTTAGATGTAAGCTACGGTGAAAGCTTTGTTAGTTTGTCTTTGACTCGCGGTGTTGATGAATCTAAATGATTGTGGACGGCGTGGTCGTCAATTGTGATAAACAATGGATTTCAAATGACTAGGTTTGAAGAGTCATTTAAAATCCTTCAAAATAATGACTAAAAAACATCTAGCATGAATTTAAAATTCTCCAACTTCCATTAACATCCCAACATGTATGATGATTTGAACTTGTAAATTTGAAATCTATGGATTTCAAATTCCTCACTAAATCCTTCAATCCAAATGTAGCCTAAAGTAATTAGCAGACACGAGTAATGTTTTATTGTTGTTAGGATAAAATCAAGAAAATTGAAACAATGTCTAGATGCCACACTGCCTTACAGGTCTAATTGTTAAACAATCACATTTTTTCACTTAAAGTTGCATATTTATACTAAAATGGAGTATTTCAAGAAACAACATAAACACAAGTGTTATTGCTAGCGCAGCAAACGAGTCGAGCGGTTCGCGCTTGAGTTGAGCTTGAGCAGTTCAATCGATCAAGCAAGTCGAGCCGTGAGCATCATTTGAAGAGGTTCGTATGCTTGACTTTTTATTTACATAAATATTTCATATAGTTTAATTATCAATATTAGAATATCCTATATAGTTTAATTATCAATATTCAAAACACCAAGGCCAAAATTGTTTATTTAGTTAACGTTTCAAGCCTAACTCAAGTCATGTCGAGTTTGAGCATTCTTATTTTTTTCACGAGTCGATTCAAACGCCATTTTACATGGCTTATCAAGCTCGAGCAGTGAAGAAAAAAGTTCGATCTAAGTTCAACGAAATTCATGCTCAACTCGACTCGTTTGCAACCTTAGACATTGCATAATACAACAAGTACGTATTTTTATTACAGTGATATGACGGGTTGACTCGTCTGATACTTAGATTGCTCATACGAAAAGTACAAGAGTCAATCCATAAAGTAAGAGAATACATAAAGCAAAGACCCAATTCGTGTTATCGGTGTATAAAAAATAAAAATAGCAATATTTGTACCCAAAAAAATGATAATATTGTAAACAGAAAACTAATTACATTATTTTTTCCTTCTCTCTCTTTTCATTTCGACCAGAGACGAATGCAACAAAAATAGCAAAATGACTCCAGCCAATCTCCTTTTCTTCTTTTGGCATGCTAAATCCACTGTAATATTTGCAGATTGCATAGCCATGCGTCGAACAAAAATCAAAAGAACTGGATTGTGTATAACGTAAGTAAACTGTAATTTAATCCATATCGAGAAAATCCATCCTTCTTTTCATGGTACCCTTTAGATCCGAAGGTTCTCTATCTGCTTTCTGTGCCTGCCCAAAAACCGGAAAATTTACTGCTAAAAGAAAACTCAAAGCTTTTACGCAGTAGCTTAAACAATTAATGACAAGAATGCCCTTAAGTTAAACCAGTTGAGTTCTTGCAATCGAAGATCGGTTTCAATCATGAGCAAATTTTATAATCTATACCAACTAAAACTGGAAGTGGAAAATTATAACTACTCCATTGAGTGTCTTGCTTGAAAAAAATACAAAAAAAGAAAACATAAATTCAGGGCCTACCCTTCTAATTTCTTCTGTCGATACACGAGTCATATTCAGGGGTAGCTCCTCTTTCTCCAAGTCCTAATGAGACATAATGACATATTATGCAAGCTGAAGAAGACAAACAAATAACGAAACTAAAATCTGTAAAATAAAAGAAAAAAAAATAAAGATTGTGGCGTACCAATTCCCCTATTAAAACAACATTCTCTCCACGAATTATGTACAGACCTAATGGGATGTCACAATATAGCTCACCAACTATTACACGCTCGCATGCACCTTCTAAAACCGCGTTTGCTACAAATAACATATTTGTTTTCTTTAGATAAAAGATAATAAAAATGTAAAGATAATGCAGAAATCAAAATGTATGAAAAAAGTTAATGTCGTACCGAATTGATCAAATGAGCGAAGAATACCCAACAGTTTTCGGCCGTCTCGAAGTAATACAAGAAGTTTCTCTGGTAAGCCAAAAA